CATGAGTTTAGCGTTCTGGGGCGACTGTTAACACTCACAAAGTTCGTAATACTGCTTGGGGGAAAGCGACGAGGTCCGAAGTTCCGCAAGCATTAGACTAGCGCTTTTCAATGCGTCCATGAGTTGATCCAGCTCCTAATATATTGGTGAGCATGCAAACTCATAAACAACCTTGTATAGTTGACTTACGAGGTGCCGCTTCATCTGCTGAACCTGTATTTTGACAGTGTTGAGGGCCTCGCTGAGAAGCTTGCCCTCCTCCCCCCCTGGTTGCGCCATTGGTGAGTCCGTGGTGGCTGTACAGACTGTCTCTGACAGTCTGGAGGTAAACAGGGAGATATTGCTGTCAGTCGAAATTCCACAGCGCTCACGAATGCTATTTGGCTGCGGTTTGGTCATCATTTGTCAGCAAGGACTCGACATTTGGCAGTGCCTCCAGTCAAAGCCATGACCATGTCCATGATAGTTTTCTCTTCTTCTTATGCAAGTCATAGGCCAAAGTCTCCATGGTATAGCATCTTCGTCTGTCTTTTGGTGTCTCAGGGCCTGTAAGGGGGACTCTGCTCAACCCAGTCTCTGGAAGCTTGATGTATGGACTGTCATGATGGAAATGGGAAGAGGTAGACTAGACGAAGCATGACTCGGCTCTCAGTATCCTCCTAGGCACAGTCCAAGCATAGTCCATCTACACGAGGCGACCATCCGAAGGATCTGCCCACCCCTGTCGACGTAACGCATGTAACCGTTGTCGGTATTGTCATATACTCGGTGTCTAGGATGGTACACCGTGCTGTGATTTGCATTCTTCGTGGTGTGGTAAGAACATAGTAAGTGTCTTGTCAATAATTCTATTTGTCATCTTACGTTTGGTGTAAGATCCACGAGGCATCGATAAATTCAAAAGCTTGGTGCTCTACAATTGTACCAATATTCGACAAGAATCCAAAGATATGAATCTGATGCACTCCGTGTCTTTCATGCGAAGCCATGGTCAGTCGAAGCCGATGACTCTCGCACCTTTGACTAGAGTGCAAACATTACCGAATTATAGACATTGCCGCAAGTCCTTATGCGGAACATACCATACCGACGCTCAGACTCGAAACTTCCGGCTCTTTTGTTCTCTTCGGCCACGAGGCAGAGGATATATGAGAGGACCTAGCATAATCGTGCAGGTTTAAAAGTTCCATCTTCTGAGCAGCTGTCACGCAGACTTACCGTACTTCGTGCAAATGCCCTATGGAAATGGAAGACATACATGATTGGACGCGCAGGACAATGCGCACATTGCGTACGATATCCGTCCGAATGTGTGTTCCATCCCATCCATTCAAACGTCCTAGTCAGTCAAAGCTGGCTCGCTCGAGAAATTCCTTGTATGAGCCTAGATCTAGATCCCTAAATTTGCGGGATGATGCATCCGTTCGCTATTGTCGATGTGAATTTGGGACGTGATGGCGTTTCTCGAGAACCATGCCGCGTTATATACTTCTACGCTGAGTCAAAATATCTGCTGCAACACGAAGCCCTTGATCGTAATATCGTCGTCGTCTATCTATGATCCTGCACCAGACGACCATTGTTCCTGCATATCAACAGACGTGACTCGTATACTAGGTGCTAATGAACTTTTGATCTAGCCCGACCAATGTCATGGATAAAAGTTGCAGACAATGGCTTTTCTGTAAATCGCAACATCCGGAGTTGGGAATGTTCCTTGAAAGATGACATCCCTTGCTGCTAGGCCAGGTTCGAGTTGGTGGCGTCATAAGGTCTGCAAAAAGACAAAAAAACTATGTGTCAGGGAATTGAATGAGTCCGGGACGACCAAACAAAGCCCTACCGAACTGGTCGAGTCAAATTCTTGAATAATGTGCGAGTCAAACGTTGACCGTGGTACCATGTGGGTTCGACAATGTTTGGCGCAATGATGCCTACGCAATCCAGCGAGGGCTGGCCTCAGAAACATACCTAATGAAGCACTGCAGGTGGAAAAGCCAGTCAATTTTGGCCCTCATATGATTGCTGTCTACGTAACAACAGGCGGCTTGCAGGTGTTAAGCAAGGCGCGCCACGAAATACCCCCAAGACTCGACAAAGTTTAGGTACCCGATCCATTCCCGATCCTACACAAATCCGTAGAGCCGTCTATTGTTATGCTTAATCTACTATATCATACATAGTACCAAGTCATCACTTCCCTTCATCTAAGATTAGATTAACACCGGAGGCAACAACCCTCGCCCTCATCTCCGAGCTCGATATGGTGGGAAATTGAGGGGTGCGACTATGCCTTATTGTTCGTCCCCTCTTCTCGTTGACTCGTCATCGAACATATGCTCGACAACAATAAGAACTAATGCAGCACTACGGCGCGCATGATCGACCATAGGAGGGCTATGCGAGACGAAAGTTCTATAAAGCCGAGGCCTGACAACGATTTGTTTTCCAGGCTCATTCGCAACCTACCCACCTACCCAACTACCTCCTCTCTCTCCTCACCCACCCTCACGAATTGTAATGGACGCTTTCACCACCACCATCATTGTCAACGTCGATTCTATCCCCACCAACGAGGAGACCGGTGGTTCCGGCAACAATGCCTACTGCGTCATCGCTTAATATGCTGCACAACGAACATCACGCCAGCTTCACGCATCGTTCACATGCGTAAGCCCTTCCCTCACTTTCTTCCCTGGTTCAAATGTACTAACGACTCTCCTCGCCTTCCCATCTAGATTATCATGACTTCACAACACCACGTTCATATCATTATTCGTTCACATCATGACCACCACCAACATCATTGCATCATTGCATCGCGTATTTTAAATTCGAGGGAGCGGGGTTGTCCACACAGAGCTTTTCTGGGGATATTTAAAGTAATATAGCTATTTCGCCTTCACAATATTGCTGTATTTCGAAGTAGGAGGGAGTACTGATAGGTTTCGAATCACACTTTTGATTCGATAATGATCCGCTCGAACTGAACTCCCGCTTATGTCCAACGGTAATGGCCGTTATTTTGCACATTGTGTCTCCTACTGCAACCGCAGAGTAGCTCATGCATACAACGATAGGATGAATACTTTGCTCGTCTACTAAACTGGTTGCCCTCAAATATCCTGATAGTTGATTTTCGACACTGATAGTTCACGATGTACAAAGAAATGGAACGCAACTTGGTATGCCCGAATATCTATCAAATTGAATATATCAACCAGTTCAAGCAGCTTTCGCATGGAGAGTGTGTCAGTCCTTTCTGTAGAGCTAGGCTGAGGTTGATGGCATGACATAGCATAGCTTGTGCGGAAGATAAAGAACATAGCAGAGTAGGTCATCGTAAGCATTATGATAATGAGCACTAATCAGTCTATTCCTCAGGAAGAGGACTGTACTGCATGGAATATATTTGGATGCGCTCTAAATATCCCTGGGTACTCTGCTGCGCAGAAGGTAGGGTTATCGCTTATTCTCGTAGCACTCAATGGCCTTTGATCGGCAATACACTTCCCACTTCGTTGCCAGATTTGATCTGGAAAACTGGGGTCGAAGAGCACAACATTTGCACCACACATTTGGTAAGTAGTCTAGTACCAGTATGGTACATATCTTTCATGGCTAGCCTTTGATTCAACTGTCTTGTCCAAGCAAAGTTGTTGTAGTTGTGCTGCAGAGAAGGGCACAGTGACAGGTTTGAATCATGTTTGTGATATGGACTCTTTTATCTTCGAATTGTTACGCTCTGTAACAGTTTGTAACATTAGTGTACCGGTGTTTTAGGAATGTGGCGCACCGGAAAAGAAGCCGAATGCGTGTGAACATAGGCGAACATGTGTGAACTGTGCCTTATATTGATTGGCGCTCGATCAGTTTCCAAATGCGGACATGATCTCCTTCCACCTTCGCGACAGTCGACATCCTCGAACCACCTCAATTCAAGATTTATCTCCCGTCAATCCTATGATGCATTCTGACGACTGCAGGTGTTTTCATATGTTACAGAAATTTTGAGGCCATGTTTGGATGGGTTGAATCTGTGAACGACCGATATCAACCACGACCCGAGCAGATGCACCCGAAGTTCCGAATCCCGAAGTTCTTATTGTTGTTGGCATTCATCGCGATATCATCCGTCCTCCTCCGGCGTCTCCGTATGGGCTCCCAAGCACACAGCTTATTGTCTTTTATGCTCTTCCTCGACGCTTATGAGTCATCGATATGCAGTCAGATATAGGACATCATGCTCTTACGACGAATTGATCCTTGTTGCATTCATGAGCCGGACGAAACAACAATAAGGAAGACGCACGCCACGGCCAGGAGCTGAAATTGTAACTTTTATTGGTGTGATGGTGTGATATAGTAGAGGGTGGCCGAGAGTACCAGGTACGTGTAGGGCAGTTCATGGTCTTCCTGTGCAACGTATATAAAGTGTCGATGAATTTCTTGAAACCCCAGGCCCAGTCGTAATTCCATCGCAATCGACCAAGTCACCTCCCTTTATCATCCCATAACTCCGAGAAACAATGGACTCATTCACAACCATCGCCTCTTTCTTCTCGGCGTCCACTCAGATTGAGGATGCCTCAATACCGAGCAACGGGGAGACTGGAGGCTCGGGCAACAATGCGTACTGCGTCATTGCTTGAACACTTCCTACATTTCGCTGCCATTTACGTCGACTGCCATTGTAAGTTTTTTCTGATATCGAGATCGCTTATTTCAATTGATAACGATAGGTCGATCGGAAATTATTTCGTTCTTTGTCGGGATTTGCGATGTAACGGATATTGGGGAGGAGCATTTACGCGCCGCATTGGCAGCGTACATTACTTATTACTTTCGTCTTCGTTTGGGTGTATTGATAGCATTAGCTGGGAAGGATGGGGATAGGTTTCGTGTAATATTGCTTCCAACTGTGATAAAGCACACAACGGCAGTCATGAGTGCTGGATAGATGTACCTGTTCAGAAATGTTAAGATTGTGAAATCTGCATGGCGCTATAGTGTAGTGGTTATCACTCGAGATTCTGAACATCAGCATTCTCGGAACCCAGGTTCGAGCCCTGGTAGTGCCTTATGCAGTCTTATAATTAGACTTTTCTTTTTGATGTACAAACTTTGTGCAGGGAAGTTGAAAGCAAGAAAGCAGATTTCGATACAACATAAGCGCCCATCTTGTGCTCGAACTGTCAGCGGGCCGCTACAGGCCGAATTAAATCTATTTGCTTCGGATGACAATGGCAAATAGTGGGAATGAAGTGCAGAAGGCTGCCACGTCTTCTTGGCCACCACACCAAAAGTCTTTACGACAGCTGCAGCGAGTTCTGCATTTACGCACATTATGTCTGCAGCAGCACGCGCAGAAGCTCGCAGAAAAGCAATTCTAAGCCGAGGAACGGACAGACTCGCAAAGCTAACTACTTCAGCGCGCGGCGAAGATGCACCTGCGTATCTCCATGACGGTGTGTAAATCACCAGACAATTGCTACATATCTTACAGTCTTTCCTAAATACTCCAGACCCACCACTTCCCAGTCTATCCAATAACGCAAAGGTTTTCCTCGGTGAAGACATGAGTAACATGTCAACTCCAGCTCGATTGACGCCTTCACCTACACCGAGTCCTCAGCCCAAACGAAGAGCCGCGACCCCATCTCGGAACGCCAACATATTCGAAGGCCTGAACTCTAGTCCACCGGACCCGTCTGTATGGCTTCCAGAACAGCAACAACAGTTCCTGCAAGCTCTCATGAATGCGTCATCGAGTCCCCTGCCTCAGTCGTCACCCATTGGCGACCCAATACCGATGGACTCCACTCTGCCACCCATGGACAACCCATTTGATGCCCTACTTGGAGCACAAAATGGTGCCGGTGTCGGAGGAGGCATGTTCCCTCCATTTGGTCCGGGAATGAGTGGGAAAGCGTCAGCTGGAAACGAAGAATCGCAACAGACAAAGCTACAGAAAGCCATGCCTCTCATACACATTCTGGCGATGTGGTGTCTGTTGGCATACTTTGTACTGTGGTTTGAGCCGCAGGCTCATGGTGCCGTTACTGGAGAGAATGTTCGTATTCTCGGTACGGGTCTGTGGAAGCGCTGGTCAGAGCTTGGACAGCAGAACCCCCTGCTTTCCAATGCAGCACGGACATTCCGAGTTCAAATCGTCGTATGTCTACATCTCTATCATGCCTTCTGAGATGGAATTAATCTTCATTCCGGTAGCCATTCTTCTGGGCGTTCACTACTCTTCAGATTGCGTTACACTCCGTCCGTATATTTTCCGGATTTGTGAGTCTCCTTGCCCATTTACGCATGCGCTTATTCTCAACCTGGCGGTGTCGCAGAACTCCATTCAGCCCCCGATGCTCCTCGCGCTTGCCTTGCCCCATCTTCCACAACCTCTACCCTCCATCATCGTCAACGCTCTCAAATACATGCAAATGGGCACGCTATTTTTAGACGACCTTGCAGGATTGGTGGTGGGGATTGGGTTCATTATTTATTTCTCGGGGTGGTTTGCACAGTCGTCGTCATGATTATGATTTAGCTCGCATGGGCTTTATGTTGAAGGTCATTAAATTACTCCGATGTGTATATGCTATGCAGACATAATTTTGTAATTATTGCGAGTCAAAACTCCGTCGCTGCCTGCGCATACCATCAGGCATGACTGAAGTTCATTCCCTTCGTGCGAATGCGAGGTATATCACTAAGGAACCAAGAGTGTCATTCAACTCGCATGAGGTGCCGTCGTCCCTGCTGAAGTTTCTGGTGGTGGTGGTGATGATGAGGACGCCTTCTTGGTCTTCACCGGCTTTTCTGGTTCTGAAGTCTGCGGATGCAAAACCCGCCATTCCTCCAACGTCGGTAAATGGTCCATCTGCTCCTGTCTCGCCTTCATCTCCTCTTGTATCCTCTCTCCAGGAATCACCGGAAGCCCGGCAGCCGTGCTCTCCTCTACATGTTTCTTCCAAGGGTCCCCACCAGCGACGGTCATAAGTTCCTTCAATATCGTTGTTGACCACTTGTCATTCAAGTCTAGTCTTTGCACCTTCCCATTCTCTGACGATTCAACCATAGGCCGAGTGAGTATCACGTAAACGGTCGTAGAAAACAATTCACTGACCGAACTCCAGCTCCATCTCTGGTCTCCAAGCTTCCTCCTTCTTTTTCTTCACCTCCTCGACCTGAATGTTCAAATCCGGGTTCGCATATCGTATCCTAGGCAAGTCCTGCTTCACAAAGTGTCTGTACAATCCCAGACCCAGTTTAATATTCCTAGAGGAAGAAGGAGAAGTGGAAGCGGCACTGACCGTGCGCCAAAGTGGTCATTCCGGTACGCGTAGGAAAGCTTGAGAGCTTTGAGGCCAGTTAATGTAAGTTTCGGTGACGCTTTCAGATGCGTAAGGACTTTGTTGAGGTGAATGATCCCAGCAGGAAGGCCGACTTTAGGTGGCATATTGGTGGACTTGAGATGGGTAGTTCAATGAAATGGATGACCGAACTCGGTAAACACAGCGTCCACATCGAAATTTCTGATGTTTACAGTTGTGCCGTTCGGATGTTTTCGCCTTCCCGCTCCGGTGGCTAGTGCCAAAGAATTCACCCAAATTCAAGAGTAAGATAATTACTTGTCATTAAAGTCCAACTAATCAAAAGCTACCTCGAAGGAGAAACAGAGAAATAGACTACTACAAATCAATCAACAGTGCCTCTTTCCTCTCCTCCTTCTGCTCGAACCCACTGGGCATAGAAGGTGCATACGCGGAGTAGGCGGGCTGTGGGACGGATGTCGGCGCTGCAGGGAACTGGGGCAATGCTACAGGAGCTGGGGGCGGAGAAGAAACTTGATAGGATTGTCGTTGAGGTTGCTGCTGTTGCAAGGGTTGTTGCAGCTGAAGAGGAGTCTGGTACTGCTGGTGTTGTTGCAACTGAGAGGGAGCATGCGAAGTCACAGTGTTACTCCTGGCAAGATGGGATGCAGGTGGCGAGGAAGCGTGGCTAACCGAGCTGTGCCTTGCTAGCGATGGCGTCAGTGGTGCTTGAAAAGGTGGAGCTTGGGGTGTTGAAAGTTGGTACTGTGCTGGTGGCGGTGGAGGAGACTGTGGAAGAGCAACCGGAGGGGCGTAAGCCGGCGTATTCTGCATGGAAGAAGATGGGATTGATTGATGTTGGTTATAAGCATACGAGGCCGCGTTCTGGCTTGTACTGGAAGTTGGTGCGGCGGCATACTGTTGATACTGTGTTCCCGGACGTTGGACATATTGATCCGGTGGTTGGGCCGGAATCATATCAGGCGCTCTGGGAGAAGAGGGTTGTGCATATTGGACTTGTTGGGGGTGTGACTGATGAAGTTGAGATTGTTGCTGTTGCTGTTGCTGCCACTGATGTTGAGAGTGCTCGGGACGAGAGGCCAACCCATACTGTGGCAGTTGAGTGGATACGACAGGAGGTGACGAAAAGGCATGGTGAGGTGATGATGGCTCCCTTTGTGGTCCCTGCGATGCCTGATAGCCTGTCTGGGTTGCCTGTGCTTGAGGGGTCCACTGGTTATATCCATCGACGGGAGCGTAGTTTGTATTGTATGTCTGGTACGGGCCAGGGCTGACGACTGGAGATTGTTGGGCTCGCCATCTAGGCTGAGCAACTTGCTGAGAAAGAATTTGATCATATAGCTTCACGGCCTGTGATAATTGGTCATGCATATTCGACAGCATTTCTAAAGCCCCGAGTGAATACCAATTCTTGTGTATTCACGATAGCCAGAACACACACCTTCTTTCCGCCCTGCATCGTCCAGACCTAAAGCCAATTTAGGCCGCAATCCATTGGCTTTGTCGTACAGTTCGGTCACGGCTGGGTATCTCGAGATATCCCTGCCACCTTGCGCCTGTACCTGTTCTACCGTTTGGTTGAACGTTAAGATCACATCTGCCTCCAGTGGCTCTAAATCATAAGTCGGAATCTTGGGAACAATTTGCTGGTTCATTGCCGATGGATAAGATTGTGAATATCCGGGTCCGGCGAAGGAATAGGACTGTTCTTCCCGTGGTGTTTCGAGGCCAATAGGAGCACTTGGTCTGGGCGCATTGGCCTCTCTCAGACTCGCTTCTATAGCGGCCTTCAGGTCTGGATCTTCTTCATCCTCGGCAGGTGCAGACTTTCTATCAGCAGGATATGTGGTTCTATCAACGATAGGTGGCTCAGAATAGCCCCATGTTGAAGGCGAGGGTTGCGACGGCACGTAACCCGGACGGGCGTGCCCGCTGGTTCCGTTCACTTCTTGCAAGGAAAGTTGGATTGCCCTTTGGAGCTCAGCATCTGCCAATTCTCGTGCACTACGGTGACGATGTCCATGCAGACTTGTCGAATGGCGATGGACCTTATCACTGAAAATGTGTTGGTGAATTCGGATAAAATGTGAATGGATGGGATAAACGTACGCCCTCTCGCTTTTCTTAATGAGCTTCGAATGACATCCGTCACAAACCCTTACCTCTTGCGTGATCCCGAAATGAGGCAACGCCATGATCTTCGAGGAACACGCTTGATCGAAGACTTGACCACAGTTCCGACAATGGTGCTTCCGATTCGTAAAACTAAAGGGTGTTCGACACCGCAAGCAGACCTCAGAATCAATCCATTCTGGTGCAGTCTGCGTATCCACCATAGCAGAGTTTGCAACAGCGAGGTCCTTTGGAGGGAATTTATAACCTGGTCAAACAAGTATCGTATCTTAGTCTGATTTGTGACTCGAATGTGATCCTCACCTTCATTCGTCAACGTCTTGAATACCTGCCCAACGTAGTATAAATTTGATTTTCCCTCAAACGCAACACTCCAATTCTGTATCATTCGCAATATGTTGAGCTTGACATCATGATTGAGCGCTGGGATCTTCAGGATGGAAACGAGGTTGTCCATGAAGTCCCGTGAAGCAATTTCCGAAAGAAATAGGTCGCCGCCGTTCTTGATGCAAATGTCTGTCAACTACGGTATGTCAATGTCGAAGCATTGGAAACCCCTAAGATTGACTAACACCAAGGGCTAGCAATTGAACATTTGGATTCTT